GACTTTTGTATTGTGAAATATTTCTTATCTGTTATTTTTGGGAGTCTCATACAATTTTGGCAAGGTTTGTGCTTATCAAAGTTAATGAGTTTGCAGCAGCCTTTCAACTGGGGATTCGTAAGAATCATTAAAAGGTTTCTGTTCCCTTTGGTTCATGTTTGTTTTATTGGAAAAGGGTTTGGGTCAGAACACCATTATAGATATTTTCTCACTCTTTTGGAGCGGGAGGGTGTTTTGAGATAGAAAAATGCAACAATGGCCTTTTTTTAGAGCTTTGAAAATAGTTCCTCCCCAGTTGATTGGATCATTGGCATTCATGTGAAACGCTTTGCATAGATGTCAGTTGAATCATAGGGCTAGAAGGTATCTTGGAGGTCTTCTAGTCCAACCTCCTGCCCAAGGCGGGAGACTTCATATCATCCTGGACACATGGTTATTTAATCTTTCATTGAAAACCTCTATCTACGGAACATCCACAACCTTGGGGGGCAAGCCATTCCATTGATTAATCGTTCTCACCAGTGATGCGATTCAAGTAATTTAACAACCAGTTCTCCCTAATGACTGGGTATGTGTGGCTGAGTGGGCGTGGGAGGGGCGGGGCCAGGCCAGACAGTGGTGGGATCAGCCAGTTCATCGAACTGTGCAAAAAGTTAACAACCGGTTCCATGGAACCAGTGCAAACCGGCTGAATTAACACCACTGGTTCTCAGCAATATCTGGAATTAGCACGGACTTCCTTGGATGAAACAAGGTTAACTGGAATCCTACAAAGATGGAGTTTCTGCTTGTGCAAAATCTATCACGTTTGGTGATGGCCCCATTTTGGCTCTGGGTTCCATCTATCCTGATAGAGCAGGTTCATGATTTGTGGATCAATGGCTTCTTTTTCTGGGTGTGGACATCTGAGCAGATGACTTACCTGGCAAACCAATTATGTTCATTGATTGGGCAAGATGTCATTGGGACCATCACCCATGCCCTGATTAGCCTGAGATTGAATTACTGCAATGGACTATACCTTTCCATATTGTCTTCAACTGGTACAGAATGGTTTACTATGCCACAGAAACATGGCCAATGCTAAAGTTTGTGTAGAGCTTTTTTTACTTCAAAGAACAGAGCAGAGGGGCTATTCATAGACCTCGGTTTTTAATTTGTTCATCTTCCAAGATTTTAGGGCAAAGCTACATGGTACATAAAAATTGAGTATAAGATTAATTAGAAGCTCTTTATATTCCTCAGGTGTTTTTTTGGAAAATAAATAATTTGCTGTAGGTTAACTGTAGGTGGAAGGAATTAATTGTTTTGTTTGTTAACTAATTTTTCTATGACCCTCGACTTTCTTGTCAGCTTCTGGAAGCAAAATATCAGTCTCAAATTGAAGATCTTATACTATTATTAATTTATATCATATTATTTCAGCAAAGACTGCCATATATATATATGGTGTGTGTGTGTGTATATATATATGTGTGTGTGTATATGTGCATATATGTATATATAGTATGTATGTATCTATGTATGCATATCTGTGTCTATCCATCATCTATTTATTCAACCTTCTATATCTATCCATCCATTTATCTATCATACTATTATCCATCCATCCATCCATCCATCCATCCATCCATCCATCCATCCATCCTTGCATTATCTATTTTTCCATAAATCTATTTTTGTTATCTATCTATCTATCTATC